GAATAGTATGTAGGAGTAGGAGTAGGACTAAAAGTAGGAGGAGTCATAGTAGTACATATAGCAGCAGCAGCAGCAGCAGGAGTAGTAGTAGTAGTAGTAGTAGTAGTAGTAGTAGTATAGTAGTAGTATATAGTAGTAGTAGTAGTAGTAGTAGTAGTAGTAGCAGCAGCAGCAGCAGCAATATTAATCATGACAGTAATAATGGTAATACTACTGCTAATAATAATGAAAATAGTGTTAATGTTAGTAATAACAGTAGTAATTAACAACAACAATAATGATAATCGTAACAATAACATCACAAGGCATGTGAAGAACCGAGGGAGCGCTATATGCTTTTCAGGTTGGGGCGTTGTTTTTGTTTTTTTGTTTTCCGAGGTCGGTTTAGGGTTTAGGGTTTAGGTGCCTTCTAAGTATGGGGGGGCCCATCCAATAGAGGGGGCCTAAATAATCACTATTACTCCGTATTTCGGGGGGGGGTTCCTTATTCTAACTATTGCATAATATACCAGAAAAGCCCTATTCTAATTATCAAGGCCACTACATTAGTCAGAATCCTTGTTTCAGTGTCAAAGACACGTACCCCGCAGCTTTCTTCAACCCGAACACCCCAAGCCCCAATACCGTGAGGGGTTTAGGGTTTAGGGTTTAGGCTCCAGTTATTTCGGGGCCTGAATGATTAGAATAGGGTATTCGACTATAATTGTTGTAAGGAGCCCCCAAACCCTATTCAATTATTAAGGCCCCTACATTATCCAAAATCCTGGTATCGTAAAGCTTGAACGATACCTGCGTCCCTTGCTTCAGGTCATGTGCATGCTTCTGCTGGATGCCGTCCTGTACCAGGCATCCCGTGCCTTCAGGGATTAATATAGGGACCTAAATAATTACCAATACTATTTTGGGGGGTTCATTAGTATAATTGTAGTCTAATATACTCCAAAACCTTATTCTAATGATTAAGGCCCCTACATTAAGGGTGTAGGGTTCAGGCTTCTTTTGGTGAAATATTGGTGAGTGGATCTGTTGGGTGCTATAACGGGGGGGCACTAGTAGTGAAACCCTACTTCACATGTCATACCTGTACCTGAACCACCTGAATCCGAACCGTAATCTCTTAAGCCTGAGCGCCCGATCTAAACGAATGAAGTAATATCGGGGCCTTAATAATTAGAGTAGGGTTTTGGGGTATAGTATACTAAAATTGTAACAAGGAACCCCCAAAAATAGTATAGGTAATTATTCAGGCGCCCCTACATTAGGATGTATGTAGGTCTCTGGGGTTTTAGGGCATCGTGTCTGTGTTTTCAAGTTTGGGGTTCGGGGTTGTCGGGATTCTCGGTTCCACGTTATTTCCTGTTCTTGTCCTGAGGCTGCAACCCGAAAGTCTTAGGTTCCGGTTGATGAGATAGATCCTGCATTACCCATAACAAGGAATATGCCATAATTCCCATAGTTTAGGGTCCTTAAGGTAATGCAGGATTTATATCATCAACAGTAGGAGCGGTGTAGGATTGTGATGGAGTAGGGACCGGACAAGCAGACGACCGTGGGAACAGATGGCGGAAGTCGACGCGGAATGCTTCGCTAGGGAACATTGGAAAGCGCTGAGCAACTTCGGGTTTAGGGTTTAGGGTTTAGGATTTCGGGCTGGTTTTGGGTGGCTAGGACTAGGATGGAGGTTCGCCACCGATCTTAAAACCTCAGACGCCCTGAGCCCAAACCGTATGGAGGCCCTAACCAGGCCTTCATTCTCAAGCGACACCCAGAGAGCCCAATACCCCTTAATTAAGGAATATACCTTAAATTATAAGGGACTTCATATTATGATTTAAGCCCTAAACCCTAAACC